CATTTCATATTAATGAATCTCCTTTACAAACAATGATCTAGAAAGTTCCGGCTCATATGTGTCTGCTGAGCTCACAGCAGGTGCTCAGTAAACACGGACTGAACAGAGAGCAGTGCCATGAATTTATACTTGACATTTCTTACATATCCACAGAAGTTGCTTGAAAATCGAGGCACTTTTACTGAGGTATCAACTATACAAACAATTTTTAAAATCGGCACTGAATCAAATCTCATAATTACTGGAGAGCAGCAGGATGACAGGCAGAAAGGACCTTCCAGTAGCTGTCCTGGAGCCAGTGGTCATCAGTGAATCTGAGGCTCTCCTGCCACTTGCCGCCCCCTGAGCCAGTCTCTGCTGGCACTGCCCAACTAGCCTGCAGGTTGACACAGGTCTGGGRTGGGGGAGGGACAGAGAAATCAGGAAAGATGCAGATCTGGTGCTTCTTCCTACAGCCATTTGGTCCCAGTTGGGCATTTCATGGAGACTCAGAATGCAGATCATCAAAGAAACTTCTGGAAAAGCTTAGCATCTCACTCTGTTGCAGAGGTGCTTGGAATCAGTGTCACTCCTGGGTCAACATCTGGTTTCCCCAGCCCTGGGGACAAGGCTCCTTCACTGTCATGATAGAGTACCCCACACTTATCTTCCCAGGGAGGGTGGGGTCACAGGTCGACAGCCAAGACCGTCATTTCTCACACTCCCCCATCTTTCCCAGGGCCTCGTGTGAACGCTGTGAGAAGCCACGCCCGTCAGTTTCCCAGCAAAGATTCCATCACCTGGCGCATAGCCTTTATCAGTATGTCCTTCTCAAGGTCTAATTAGAGGCTCTGCTGCTGTCATGCACATTTGTTTCCTTCCTYGGCACCTCTTTGCAGGTGGACAAGAGCTGCTCCCTCCTGACCCCAGCCTCTCATCTGCCTGCAGTTTCTTTCTTGAAGTCTAAATCCTGGCCATCGCCCTGGCGGATGTCCTAAGTGCTCTGCTGGGTGCACTCTCATTTCCAGTGCCTTCTCTCACCCACCTACGCACAGTCCCYGTTACCATCAGAGGCTGGCAACTCTGCCAACCTCCTAGCCAATGACGAGCGGATGGACGGGTCTGTGGGGCTAAGGCTGCCAGGATGCCAGACAATGCAGGTTCAGGTGAACCCCACTTTCTGGACTGTCCATGGCCCATCATTTTTGTCCTGGACTCTTTGGGTTCCCTTCCTCCCATTTATGGGACCTCAACCTACTATTGCTCTCTGGTGGCTCCGAAAGGATTCAGAGAATTTTTTTTTTTTTTCTTTAAGACATTAGTGGAAATAACAAARAATGAGGACAGGAGGCCACTGCGGATAGGGACGCCATCCCAGCCCATGACTCACCCCTCCCCCACACCATGTTGTCACACCTGGTCAGAGCAGAGGGCAGGACTCCATTCTCCCCCAATGTCCGCTTGCCTGGACATGCATGGCCAAGGCGGGGCAGTGGGGGGCACCAGGGCAGCCAGACACCCCTGTCTTGGCTTAGCCTCAGTTTTCTCCCTCAATAAATTCTCTCCCATGGATACGTGAGGGTGAGTAGAGGAACCCAGTGACCCTAATGGCCCCAGAAAGATCATTAGAGTTGGTGCAACCGAGGAAAGGGCCCACCAGGAAATGGCAGTGCGGCCTGGCCTGTGCCAATCTTGAGCATCTCTTTTGAGTGCCTAATATGGGGGTGTCTCTAGGCCAGGGGTGATGGGGATGGAAGCAGCCCTCGCTCCCATCTTGGGGTTGACCAGCTGCTGAGCACTGTCTGTGAGGTGAGTTAGTGCGAGGGTGTCTGCTTGGGGCAGGGGTGGAGGGTTGTGCAGTGAGAAGTTGGGTGTATTTTTGGGGACAGGTTGTCCCCATGAGCTGGTCCCATGCTCTAGCCTCTAGTGGCCAGACTGAAGAGAGTCTTGGAAGATGGATGGCCAGAGCCACACCTGGCAGTGCACTGTAGAGCAGGAAGCTCCCTAAGTCTCTCTCCAGCTGAGGAACTCTGCAAGATGGATGCACCAGGCCAGCTGTCACGKACCAGCTACCTGGGAACTTTCTTGGTGGCTCGGCCATGCACAGGATGCTGCCCAGCTCTGATCCCTCCCCAGAGGGCTTCAGGAGACAGCAGCTCCATAGCAGGGCAGTCAGATGTCCTGGGGATGAGACCATTGGTCAGTGCATGGACATGGGCAGGAGCTTGGTCCATGGACCAGGCAACACCCTGGAGAGGACAGAGCAATGCAAAGGAAGGAAGGTGGCCCGTGCTGTACAACTGCCATGTCATCCAGGCAAATGGCAACAAAGAAACCAGCTTCCATCTGGTCCATGCTGTCCTAATGCTGCGGCTGATTAATTCAGTCCCTGATGTCTAAACATCAGGCCTCTTGTCCCTGAAACAAGGCACTTCTGACCTCAGGAGACCTCGTTTCTATTGGGGCCAGACGCTGTGCCTCCCCAGGCAGGATGATCCCCACKGAGGCCGCCGTCAGGGGGTGTGGCTCTTCTCATCTCCCTGTGCAGCCTGCCTGGTCTCTGACCTCTAGTTTCTGACCTCCAGGCCACCCTGCAGACTCCTGCATCTCCTGCTCTGTGCGGGGCATTCTTTCACCCCTGGGTCTCATCCTTCTAACTCAGGGTGAGGCCCCTGAAGGCAGAGCATGGCACCAAGCCTGTCTGGGCCCAGCACCAGGCCCCTGCTGCTCAATGACACTCTTAGAAATCCCACCTATAAATGTCCTGAGCCTCCCAGCCTTTGCATATGTCCTAGGCTCCAAGCAGCTTCCCATGCCGCACGGCACAGTGGGTGACAGCTGGACCCAGGACACAGCATTTCCAGCTTTCCTCCCACTCTCCAAACGCAGAAACTGCAGGCCCCGGCCCTGAGACCAACCAAGCACAAGCCCCGTGGCTGCACAGGAGTGTCCCTGGGGGCCTAGGCCACTCCTGCACTTTCTCCCCCTGAGATGATTAGATGATGGGACAGGTCACGGGTAGTGGGAATGCCAGTGGCCTCATGGCCTGTGGGGGCCCCTCCCAAGAAGCCCTTGTCTCTGGGCATGTCAGGGAATGGGTGGGTTGACATTCAGAGACCCCAGCTTCTCCAGCCGGGCGTTCCTCCTCCACAGTGAGCCTAGGTCTCAGCTCCACCTGCCAATAAAGGACCTAATATGTGCTTTTTATGTTTTCATCTTTACATTCAGTGACACTTCATTTTGCAGAGCTGCTCACCCCAAAGCTCTTGGGCTGCTTCCCAGAGGTGGGATTGGGGCCAGCTGGTCCTTGCAGTGCCAGAGGCTTGGGGCATGGAAGAGCCCACTCATAACCCCTGCTCGGAGCAGCCCATCCCAGCCCTGCCCCCTYGGCCTGGCTCGACCCTCCTCTGGGTGGCTGAAATAGGCCCAGCAAGGACCACTCAGAAGGGAGGGGTGCAGCTGAGGGGTGGGTRGGAACAGGACCTTGTCTCAGCTCCTGAGGACCCTGTCAGGAGTGCTGGGACCAGAGGGAAAGGGTGGGGAGGTGGCCCAGAAAAGATGATAAAGGGAAGAGAAAAAAGACCACATACCAGAAAATCCCCAAACCAGACACCTACTGACCCAATAACAGAGAGCGCTCACTGACCAGCCTCTCCTGTTCTCCATTCCAGGGCTCCGACCCCGCCCCACAGCCCTCTCTGGTACTGGAGTCCCCACATCCAAGCTCACTTTGCTGCTCAAGTGTTAAGGACCATCCTACGGGGCACCCCAGAGTGCAGGGCAGAGACTCATGTGCAAGCCTTGGGCAAGAGCTCGGGGCCTCAGTGAGGGTCACGGACTCTGGCCAAGGAGGAAGCGAGACAAAACACCTTCCCACTGTAGTAGGCCAGGGTAAAGACGCCCCGTGGCACGGAGCAGACAAGACCAGGCTCCTCGGCCTCAGTTTTCTCATCTGCAAGTGGCATGGAGATGCTAGAAGGACCTTCAGAGGCCAGGAGTCCTCTGACATCTGAGGAGGAAGGACTTGCCACCAAATTTGCGGCACAGCAAAACCCCAAACGCTGGGCCCCCGGCCTCCTCTCCAGGGCCGTTCTTATGACCTCTGCCCTAGGACACCAGCGACACACATCACAGACCTCAGGATGAGAGAGGACGGCAGGGCAGGGAGGATGGAGGGCCCCACGGGGAGCAGCGCCCTGCAGCCCAAGGGAGACCCAGAACTGAGGCCCCCGAGCAGAACGGAGAAGACCTGGCTTCAGGAGCACGAAGACTGAGGCTGGACCAAGCCAGTGGGCTGGAACCCGTGTCCCTGCATCACCTGTGCCCTCGGGGCTGTGGCAGCCGTGAGGTGGCCTCAGCTTTCTGGGAAGGTGGAGTCTGAAGCTGGGCGGGGGCTGGGGGCAAGAGGCTCTTTCAAGTTCTAACCTCACAGTCTCCCATAGGAGACCAGCTGGGCCACCAGAAGGTGTGAGGACCAGAGTGTCACCAGGGTGGCTGTCAAAGACCAGCTGCTTCCCTTCCCTCCAGCCACACAGCCACCCAGGACCCCCACTCCCCCTCCCCACGGACCTGGGAAGCGGCTCCAGTCTGGCCCAGGACTGTTGTGGGCTGGGGGAGACGACAGGCCTCCGAGCTTCTCCYTCAAGTTCCTCACTCCCCACAGCCCCGGCAGACCTGGGGCAGAAGGGTCTCCCAAGAGCCCAGCCAACACTCAAATTCTGAGTCCTGGTGTTTTGGGGGCTCTGCCATTGTCACCACGTGCACCTCCGCTTCATCCATTCACAAATTGCAAAATCTCCCACTGCAAAGACATGTCACTGAGCATCGCCACCCTCCTCTCTGTGGACATCTAGGTTGTTTCCAGATGTGTTAAAAGGAACCTTAGGAATCAACGTGTTAGTGGGAGAGGCGCTTCACCAGGGCCAGGGAACGGGGGCTCCCACCTCTCAGGAGCCACCGGGCCAAGCCCAGACCAACAAGACATGTGTCAACCCCAGGAGGAGCTCRGGATGGTTCCCTACCTGCTGCGGCGGGGCTCGCCCTCTGGAGAAGGAGCAGCTGCTGTTGAGCTGCTCGCTGCAATCCGCTGTCCACTGCAGAACAGAAAGGAGGGGTCGGTGACGGCAGAACAGACAGGCTCACCCCACTCTGTCCACCCCCCACCACCATGTGTCCCTGCCCCTTGGCCTCGGAGCCTGTAGGAAATCCAACTTGGCATTTTCAATGGCAAATCCTTCCCCTCCAAGGTGGCCTATTGCACATTCCACATCCTTCTCCATACCCAGCTCCAAAAGACAACAGACTTGGCATTAGGGAGGGGAGCCCCAGACTGGCCATCAGAAGCTGGGCTTGAGCATCCCCGAGTGGGATCTGACAACCACCTGCATGAACGTCCCCGAAGTCTGCTCTGCAGGGGACCCTGGGCCTCACCATCCACCCACTGAATTGGACCCTGTGAGGTCCAAGGACCAGCATTCTGACAAGCTCTCCAAGTGAGGCACCAGGAGTTTGAGAGCCACTGAAACTCCTCTGATCACCCACGGGTCATTTTGTCATCCACAAATGGGGACAGCAAAGCTGGACATCCTGCAAGGYTGAGGCAAAGGTACTTTGGGAGCTGTAAAATACTATGTCGGCATCACCTCACAGGGGTAGGAGGCTCCTCCCACAAGGGCAATCCAGCCACACGGTGGCATTAAAGGTGGCATTAAACGTAGGCTCGTCTCTCCAGTGCTGCTGAACACTGACCTTACTCTACACACTCTCCACGCATAAAATGCAGAGGGAGCTCAGTCCCTACAGATCTGAGCTTCTGATCAAAACTGAGCGTGGGAGACTTGTCACCAACAAAGCCCTGGTTTTCTAAAACCTTGTCCAGGCACCCTCTCCAGACAGTGGATCAAGGACCCGACCTTTGTACAGGACAGACCTTTAAGTATGATGCTGACAAAGGAKACTGAGTTCAAGTGTGCTCTAGAGCAGCACCTTCCAAACAAAATGAAACGAGAGCCACAAATAGGAGCCGCAGACCTAGTACACGTTCTAGTAGCCAGATGGTTAAAAGAGAGGCAAAGTTAAAGAGTATATTTTACTTAGCCCCACGTATCACTCCAACAGGTAATCAATAAAAAAAAAAATCAGTAATGAAATAGTTTGCAGTCCTCTTTCCACACAAAGGTTTTGAAATCCACTCAGCACACGAGTTTGGATGAGACACATTTTAAGGGCTGCATGTGGCCAGCGGCGCCCGTATTGAACAACACAGCTCTAAAGAGACGGCAAAGGCGGCAGATCCACTTCTTGCCCATCCCTGTCCCTAGGGCAGGGAGCTGACCTTCCCAGGCTCCTGTCAGCTGCTTCTGGCTGGGCCAAACCTTTGTACAGGAAGAAGGGAGAAGCCAGGGCAGGCTCTGTCTCCGTCTCTGCATCAGATGGCATTGCTAGCCGTGCCTGGGTCTCTTCCACGGTTCCAGCCTTCACCTAACAGGCTTGGATGCTTAACTCTGGGCCTGGTTCTGGTGACACCATCTCTTCCTTGTGCCTCACAGGAAGGGGTGATAACAGCTACCTGTGGGTGCTAATTTCTGGTAGTTTAGCTTCTTAGCGTGTTTACCCTCTGGGTAGCTAATTCTCTGGRTTAAATTCTCTCTGTTTGGATAATTCCAGTCTCAAAATATCTTCCCCCTCAACATTTATTCATTGAAAGACAAGAAACCTATCAGTCATCACTTTAACCAAGGGAGAAAATAAAGTMTGTTATCATCCTGGGCTTCCTAATATGGTGTGGAGGGGGAGGGCATATCACTTTTAAGGTATTTGTACTCAAAATGCACAATCTCAATGTAATCATGAGAAACACCAGGAAACCCAAATTAATGAACTTCCCACAGAATCAGTGACCGGTGCATAACAAATGTATCAGGGTTGTGAAAGAAAAGGAAAGACCAAGATAGTATCGGATTGGAGGAGAATAAGGGCACATGACAACTAAATGCAAATTTGGATCTTGAAAGGGAGAAAGGATGTTAGTGGCAAAACCAATGAACTATGAATAAAACCTCTAGTTAACACCATTGTACCACTGTTAATTTCTTAGTGCTGATCATTGTACCATGGTCATGTAAGAGGTTCATATTAGAAGTTGTGTTACAGGGAACATTTGGGACTGTTCTGCACTTTGGCTGTCAGTCTAAAAAAAAAAATTCAAAACAAAAAGGAAATATGTATGAATACACGTACATGTATCCACTATGCAGACAGACATATAATGATGTGTACATACACATTTTGGATTGACACATATGTATGCACATAAATGGCTACATGTGTGTYTGTGTAGCTTGCACTACTGTGAAAGTCCCTCTGCTTTACCCATTGGAGTAGTTTTCGTCTCCAGCTGAAGTCTGGCCAAGGAATAAGGTGGCTATTGCTGTCCCATCCCAGGATGGCCTCTCAGATAAAGTCTTTCCCTTTCTAGGTGTTCCAAACACTTCAACAACAGTGCTGATGTGCAGCACTGTGTGACATCCTATAGAGAGGACGGGCACAGCTCCTTCTGGGGTCAGCCTGCCCCTCGAAGGGTGACAAGCATGCAGCCAGTGTGCCTGCAACCTCGCCCCCCTTGGTGAGCCCACCCAGAGCAGCTCCAAGCTCCAGCAAGACAGCTCTGCTGTGACTGCACTTTACATTTGCTCACCAAAGTCTCCCACAGTAAAGCGTGTTCCTCGCAGGAGGGGYAGGATACGTCAACCAGCAGCAAGGCAAGCAGAGGTGGGGATGTGCAGTGGGGAGGAGGAAGGCCAGGCTCTCTGCAGGGCCATGAGAGGAGGAAGGCAGAAGCCCAGGGTTCTCAGAGACGAGGGAGCCCAGGCCAGGCCTGAGAGCAGGGGCAGGGGAGCACTTCTCCTTGACGGCAACAGGCTCACAAGCTGCAGCCTTGGTTCTGGCCACGTCCTCTGAGGGGGACGGTGTGTCTTACTCGCAAGGGTCATCCAGCCCAGAGAGGCAGGACGGTGGGAAATTTTTCTATATGGGAACAGTTCACAATGAATCCACAGAAGTGGTTTCAGGGTCTCAACCATTGCTGATAATATCTATCTTGATTTAAAAGTCCAGAGCAAACAAGACACAAAGTTAAGTTTTAATAAACGTTATGAGTACAGGTATTTATTCTGAACTCAAAATGGATGTTTATTTGATGATTCTCTACTCTCATCTGTACATTTTAAAATTTCACAGTTAATAAAATTACAATCAGTCATTTCAGGTTGGCAATAGTCTTGAGCAGATGCTGGGGAGGAGGGGGTCACAGTAGGAGGAGGAGCAAGAGTCTAAAATTCCCCCAGGTACAGATATCAAAGGCCACGTCACAGGAGAGCCACATCACCTGGTGCATCAGCACAGGAACAGAAAAACAGACGGGCTGATGACCCTGCACCTAGAAGCCAATTAACGAACAACGGGAACTGGGAACACGATAAGGAGAGCACTTTAAACTAGGGAAAGGAGAGACTCATCATGGAACTGAGCCAGCGGCCAGCCACTAACAGAAAATCTCCTCTAGGTGTCCTCCTTGCAAGATCCAAGGAAAGAACATTCCAAGTTGATCAAGATCTGAGAATCAAGTTCAAACTAGAGCAACATTTGAACTTCTGTGTATGTGACACTAGAAATCACGAGCAAGAAAGAAGACAAGTGAGAGGCCACGGGCAGCAGGTGTAGCCAAGGACCCCTGGCTGGACACACAGAGTTCCCAGCTAAGTCCAGCCCCTTCCAGGCTGTGACACTGATTAACATTTCCTCCTCATAGCCCCCAGGGCTCTTACTCTCTCCTCTAGGCCAATGGGGGGCGGAGGCACAGCAGGGCGAGCGCCTTGTCCAGGCCCAAACATGGCAGAACGAGCAAGGGGCTGAATAGGTTTCCTTCAGGGCCAGGGAAAACGGCGGCACTGAATGCAATGTGTGGTCTGGAGTCCACCAAGGTCCYAGCGGGGACTTTTTTTTTCAAATAAAGGATCTGATTGGGGAATTGGTGAAATATAAGATACATAGATTAAATGATAGTTTTGTATCAACGTTTATTTCCTATGGTATGATTATGTAAGAGAAAACCCTTGCTCTTAGGAAACACACATTGAAGCATTTAGGGATAAAGGGGGGTAATATCCGCAACTTACTCCCAAATGGTTCAGAGAAATCCATAAATACAAGCTTGTGGCTTGTGTGTGTGTGTGTGTGTGTGTGTGTGTGTGTATGTGTGTATGTGTGTGTGTATATATATATATATATATATATATATATATATATAAAGAGAGAGAGAGAGAGACATGGAACATGCACATACAAGAATTTGGAAAAATATTGACAATCGGGGACACTGGATGAAGGACATGCAAAAAGTCTTTGTATTTTTATTGTGATTTTTTTAATGCAATTTAAGATATTTTTGGATTACTCCTCCCCAAGCGGCCTCACTTCCTCACCTCCTTCAAATCTTCCAACAGCCCAGCTGCCTGGGTCATGAATATTTCACCTTTAACATCCCATATCCTATTTTCCCCCACCAAAGATAGGCCTTAGGAGGGCAGCGATCATGGCTGGTTCCATTCATGACTTTGTCCTGAAAGCCTACAACTGTGCCTGGATGAATAAATATCAGCTTTTAATTATATTTTTGTCCTGAAAGCCTACAACGGAGCCTGAATGAATAAATATCAGCTTTTAATTATATTTTACTACTTGGTACCTGGCAGAATAATAGAAGATCTAAACAACTACACTGAAACCACCACTCAAGCATGTCAAGGAGATCATTCTAAATAAAAAGCAAGGCGAAATTTACCTGTATGCTAGAAGCACAACTTTGTAAAAGGTGTATAAGAAAGAATAATCCACAAAAACTACATGAATTTTTATCATAAAATGACAGTGGACTTCTTTTCTCATTAATCTGTTTTTCTAACTGTTGCTTTTAAAGTAAAATTTAAAAAGAATTTTTTTTTTTTTGGACTAGGGATTGAACTCAAGGGTTCTTTCTCACTGAGCTACATTCCCAGCCCTTTTTATTTCATTTTGAGACAGGGCCTCACTAAGTGGCCAAGGCTGGCCTTGAACGTTTGATTTTCCTGCCTCAGCCTGTCCAGTCCCTGGGATTACAGGCATGTGCCACYGCACCCAGCTACAAGTAAAATAAATTTTAACCTACTTAAAAAAAGAAAATGACTGGCAGTCAGATTTGAAAGTGCTCAATCTCACTAAAGATCAGCGTGATGTGAATTAAAATGGCAAGATGTCCCAACATGCTGGTGGCAGTGTGAACAGAGCAGCATTTTGGAGAGCAATTTGGCAATAGTCATTAAAATTAATTCCACTCCTCAGTATCTAGCTAAAGAAACCCTCTTATGTGCACAGAAAGAGGCCTGTCCATCCAGCAGTATGCACTGAAGTTCCGGGTATCTCCAGAGGAGAATTGAAAATTAGACTGGATGCCAGCACCAAGGGGGTACTTGGAGAAACCCACACCACGGGCTCCAGGGCGGCCAGGAAACAGAASCCAGCAGATGTACAGGCTGGCAGCACCCTAGGGTGATGGTTGGGTGAACACTGTGAGTTACTGAACCACATGTCCACGGGCTRCAATACATGATTTTGAAATAAAATATTTCTGAAAATCATATATATGTCAGTAAACACATCAAAGAGGTGAGGTCACTAACTCAGCAATTTGATATTAGGGAAGGGCAAGGGAGTGGAATGAGGTAGGATCCAAGGGAGATTTTATTGTTACTGTTTGAATTCTTGYGCACCGTGCAGATGTATGCATATAATGACTGTATAACATAAAAATAAAACAAGTGTGTCATGGTAGTGCACACCAGTGGCTGGAGAGGCTGAGGCAGGAGGATCACAAGTTCAAAGCCAGCCTCAGCAACTTAGCACGGTTCTAAGCAACTTTGCAAGACTCTGTCTTGGAATAAAATATAAAAAGGACTGGGGATGTTAAGGGGTTAAGAGCCTCAGGGGTTAAGTGCCCCTGGGTTCAATCCCCAGTACAAAAAAATTAATAAATAAACAAAAATTTTTAAAAAATTTCTTAAACAAGGCAAAATATATAACGGACCCCCATGCGCAGCCCCCCACAGGCYTCCTACAAACTCACTTCTTCTGTTAATCCCTTCATGGGTGGTCCACCATTGAGCGCTTCCTCCTGTGAGCAAAGATGGCSGGAAAATGGATCCAAGGGTCGGAGGAGATGCAGAAATGGGATAGAGAGTGGGGAGGTGACAGGGAGCAGAATAGAAGCASAAACACAAGAAGAGAAGGAAGACAAGTTAGAAGGCTCTGGTCCCCTTCCTTCTCCCCATCTGTCTTTCAAAGATCCTTTTGATATTTAGAGCAAATCCTGGGCTTCCAGGTGCTGGACAGCATCGAAAAGGACCAGAGGAAGGCACCTTCACCCTCAGCGACTCTCAATTTGATCCGTTAAGGAGAACATTCTAGAAACTACACCTCCRATAAATGTGCCTTTCCCTTCACTGTGTCCTACCTGCCATCCTTCCCAGAGACTAGAGGAGGCAGCTGGCCTTGCAGAAAGGAGACACTGGGCCGTCCACACCAGCAGGACATCAGAGTCACTCGGGGCTCAGAAAAAGTCTGTGTCCTGGCCAACTGGATCTCTGGGTGGGACCTATGCACCAGAATTTTTCAAAGCTCCTGAGTGGTGCTGCTCAGTCGTTACAAACACTGCTCTAAAGCTTTCAATGATTCCCCAGGTCACCTACTAACACCGGGAGTGCCAAGGTTTTCCCACCACAACATCCCAATCTCTTCAACAGAAGGGTTAATGACTAATGAGATTGGGAGTCCTAATTCTCTWTCTATATAATGAACCACCCGACATCCTATCAGCCACAGCTCATTTCCACCAGGGAGCCAGAGGTAGGTGAGGCACAGGTTGGTCTCCGCCACCACTGAGTGGGGTGATTCGGCCATTTTCCACCTCTGTGCCTCAGTTTCCCTCCTGCAGAATGGAGCTATAATTCCTTCAGAGTAAAGACAATTGTCAGGATGTGGGGACTTAGAATTTATTAGAGAACAGGTAATCCTGAAATGTGAAATAAGAATGTAATTTTAAATATGTATGGGAAAGAGTTTAGAAACTGAAAACTTACATCCTCTTGGCTACTCATGTAAGGGAAGGGACGCTCACTCCATTTATCATTTATCTATTTGTCTGTCTGTCTATCTATCTATCCATCCACCCATCCATATACTTTTTCTTTCTAGTCCTTGCTGGGCAAGGAATGGGGACACCACTCACAAGCATCTCAGAGACACCACTCACTGTCATCTCTCAGATCCTGAAAAAAAAAAACAAAACGGCCTCACCCACTGAAGAGTAACATTCTTCTCTACTCCCTCAAGATTCTTAGCAATTTTCCTCTCCCAGACACTTCAAAACACCACCACAGACAGGCAGACAGAGACATTCTTTGAGTGGTTTTTAAAAGAATTTTTTGGCTTCCATTTAAAATATTCATCAGATTAAATAAAAACAAGCAAAGTGCTTTCACAGAACTATTTTCCATGAAGCTGCATCACAGGGGTAATTTTTTTAAAGAGGTGTCTGAGGTCGACACACCTAACCCTGGCCTTGGGTAGACTGGCCACAGCCGCCACTCCTCTGGAACCCGTGCCCAGGTATGTTTGTGGATGTGTGGGAGGCAGGCAGGGCCTGGTGTGAGCAGAACCAAACGGTCCCCCTCCCAGCAGCACGCAGGCTGGTCTGGAACCCCTCCCGGTGCGCGTGCCTTCTCCAGGAACTTCAGAGGGTGCAGAAAGTTTAAAGCCTGCATCCGGAACAAGAGGTGCCGCTGCCCACACTCTGCCTTACAATAAACATCGTTTAAAAGTCCCTCCAGAGTCCTGCCTTGGCTGCCTCTCAGATCTGGGTGTCCAAGAGTGAGTCATGTGCAACTGACCCTGGGAGCAGGAGGCAGAAGTGCAGKGCCTGGGCTTCAGGCGCTTCTCTACCAGCCCTGCCCTGGGAGCTCGGCCGCCCCACAGACAGAGCAAAGGCACTGGTGGGGCTCTCCTTCCCAACCTGCCTCCCCATTGGCTCAGAAACCCTACCATGGAGCCGSAAGTGGTGGAGCACCACCTGGGAGGCTGAGGCAGGAGGATTGCAAGTTTGAGGCCAGTCTGGGCAACTTAGTAAGGCCCTAAGTAATTTGGTGAGACCCTGTCTCAAAAAAAAAAAAAAAAAAGTCTGGATGGAGCTCAGTGGTAAAGCACCCCTAGGTTCAATCCCTAGTACAAAAACAAACAAACAAATAAATAAAAGGAAGAAAGGAAGAAAGAAAAGAAAAACTACCATGGCAAAACACTTCTGGGTGTGACGCTGCACAGCTTCCTTGGACCCTCCTCCTGCAAGAGCATGCTTTGGCTGCAGGAACCTTCCAAGGATGCCCTGCTGGAGGCCCAAGGTTCACACAGTGAGGGAGGCAGGCCTCACGCCACCGAGCACCAGGCCCCATCCTCTATGGATGCTCCTGGGGACGTCAGCTCCGCATGCCTCCAGGCAGCTGTGAGAGCTGGTTCTCTTAGAGCTGGTCCTGCCCTTCCTRCCCTAGTCAACCAGAAGAGGTTGACTCTTCTTGGAAATTTTCCAGTGCACCCTGGCTCCCTCCACTCCCATGTTGCTAACTGCAGAGCGAGGTGGTTGAAATCGGGAAATCAATTAATGCGTCCTCAGACAAGACCCTGCCTTACCTGCAGGGCATTTGTAGATCACAGGGCCATCCCACCCCACTCCCCACATGCCTCTTGGGTCAAAGCCACGCCCTCCACCACCCTTTGGTTCTTCCTTGGAGATTTGGAGATCAGCGCTTGATGAGTGAGCGGGCTCAGCACCSCCCTCGGCCACGACCCCCTCTCCTRTTGGRTTYGCCCTCTGCCTCACTCAGTCCTGTGCTCAGAGTCGTACCTTCCTGCCAGCTCCTGCACCTTTCACCCTTAACCTCAACCCTGCACTCAGGGTCAGCCCGCCTAGCTGCCAGCTCACTGCCTCGGGCACCAGAACTCCAGCAAGTCCTCAGCTGGCGAGGACTCCAGACCACTGACCCGTCATCTTTCAGTATCCACTGTCTGGCCTGGTACCCTCTCCCCTTCTCGCCTGGCAGGGCATCCAGCTGGTCACCACTGTCACTCTCCCGTGTCCCTYACCCTTCCTCCCTCCTGTGTTCCCTAAGAAAGCTGAGTCCTGGTCAAGGTCAAGTTCAGAACTCTGCCCCTGACTGTCCTGATTGAAAGCACCTAGAGCAAACCCTCCGGCTAAGCTGCACAGGTCATTTTAGGCTGCAGGATGAGCTGCTGGGGACACAGAGAAGGCAGGGCCCCAGCTACACGCCTCTCCCCTCGCATTCCCAGCCCCTCCCACGCTGCTTTTGAAACTCCTGGGGGACCTCACTCCCCCCAACACCACCGCGTTTCCAGCTGGGCACCTCCAAACAGTGGTTCGACAGGCCTTGTCTCCTCCCCATCTCCTGCTCACCCCGGAGCCAACSCCAGCCAGACTGCGTCTCTACCGCTCCACAGGGACCTCTCCAGTTGCCACCAGCCCTCCCCTTACGCTACCTGGCAGCAGTGTTCCCGGGAACCCGTCCTCGCTGCTTCCCCGAACACCTCCTTCCCTCATCCTTCCCCACTCCACTCCCCCGGGTGTCCTCCAGGCTCCTGGGACTCTCTGGGGCTCCTCCGCATAATCCTTTCCAGTTGTTGGGTGTCTCCAGGGCTCAGCCCTAGGCCGCCTGCCTCTCTGCCCTGCACCCAGCTTTCCTCTCCCKCTGCCCCAGCATGCTCGGCCCCTGGCCGGACGCCTCCTCTTCCAGTCCAGCCCTGGCATATGCTGTTCCTTGTGTCCCTGGTGATTCCCCCCAGGGACCTGCTTGGCCCTTTCCTCCTCCAGAGCAGTGGTCTCTGACTGCTCTAATTGAAATCCCAAACCCTCCTGCTCTTCCTCACCACCCCTCTTCCACCCTTAGGGCTCCATGACGCAGAGCTCTTTGCAGTCTTGTTCACTCCTGGACACCAGGAGTGTCCTGTGGAGCCCAGGATGGGCGCTCCATTCACCCCCGMGGGCCAGGCAATGAGCAGGTGACAGGCTTACAGACGTGTGATTTAGAACCTCAAGGGCACGGAGGGAAACATCACCTCCATTTCTATTTCTCCCACAAGGCTATTTCCTGCCCCCTGCTCCCAGGTCTGAACCCAAGGAAAGCCAGGGGTCCATTCTGGCTTTCTAAGAAGCTGGAAGGCTGAACTTCCTCCCCACTGAGAGAGAGAGAGAGAGAGAGAGAGAGAGAGAGAGAGAGAGCGCCAGGTGGCTGCATTTGGCCTTTCTCCAGAGCAGGGCCTGCCACTGGGTGCCCAAGGTCACACAAGCAACTAGAAGCAAATCTGGAATCAACTCTAGAAAATATCTACAGGGGATTTATTAGACAAAGAGACACGGGATACACATTTATACTTTATTCAGGAGAACTCAAGACTTCCAAATCTTGGCCCACAATCTTCCAACTGAAGTCAATTCCTATCCAAGGTCAGGGCTGCAAAAGACTGGCCCAGGAAGGGCACGTGCCACCTGAGATTCTGGTCAGAATGCCTGTGCCTCTGACTACATAAGACACGTGGGGCCCTGGGTGAGGGCCCAGGACACTCACTGCTTAGGCTGCCAATATCTGCTTGCATTTAAAATCAGAGAACATGTCCACAAGGTTTAGCTCTCTGATGGTCCACGCTGTAAATAACATACCATCTCCAGATCTCTTCTAGAATATGAGCTTGTAGAGAACGGGGAACAGTGCCCAGAAGATAGTATGTGATCAATAAATTCATTTTCAAAGACTCATGCGTCGGACTGGGCCTCAGCTGCCCATGGTCAGGAAGAGTAGAGGAGGGTTCAAGGGTCAAACATGTACAGCCGGGGAACAGGGGGCTTCCTGCCTAGATCCCAAGGCCTCTCCTGTGGGATTCCAGGTGGGTTCCGGGTGGGACCAATCGCACCTTGGCACTATAGGGTCAGGTGATGGACACTGCCTGGACTCAGGGTCCCCTGTGTCACGCCATTGAGTTTGCCAAGTGCCCTGGCCCCGTGCTCACCTGGGAGATATGGGACTGTGTCCTCTGGCTCTCAATGTCACCCTCCGTCTTGTCGGTCAGCAGCCCCTGCACCTGGTACTCCAGCACGTAGCTGTCGATGAAGCGCTCCAGCTCCTCGATCTCCTGGGATCGGCTGCTCCCAGCCTCCGAGGAGGCCGAGGCCGCCGACGAGTTCTCCATCCCTCCAGCTCAGGGGCGTGGGGCCGGCTGGAGGGAGAGARGAGAGACAGGCTGGTGAGAAGCTGCCGGGGGAGCCCTGGAAGCCCCATCTCCTCTGTCCCAGCCTTCGTCTCCCAACGGGTAGAAAAGCTGGCGGGGTCCTGGCTTGTCTTCAGCTTTAAGAGCATCCCACCATGTGGGGAAGGAAACTGAGGCCAGAGAGGGCAGGTAAGTGGCCCAGGCGTCCAGCACAGGGACTGCCACCATGTTGAGGTTGCTGTGCGCCAGATCCTCRGCCTGGGAAAGGCAGCAGAGAACCCAGACAGCCCCCAGGCCCTGCSGCCCCATTAGACCTAAGGAAATCCACCACAAAGCAGAATAAACAGACCACAGACCGGATGTTCCTGACGATGTCCTCGCTAAGGAGGTGCGGGGGGTCCCCAGCCACAAACCAAAGCCCTACAAGAAAGAACGTGCCTCCTTCTAAAGAAACTTTCCCCCTCCATCACTTTTCCCTGAATTAGCTGAAGCCCCCAGGCCTCGGGTTTATCAGCAGTTTTCCAGCCTTGCTCCTGGGACGTCTGGTTTGTAGGAATGTGACTGACTTAAAGTGACGGAACGCAAAAGGCCTGGGGCGGGGGGTGTTGTCTGTGCTGACATGGCCAGCTGTGCTGTGTGGAAGCTGCCTGGTCACCCTCCAGGGGAGCAGGACCACCCCCAACAGGCCTGTGGCGTGCTCTCTGGCTGACTCTGGCAGACATGACCAGCTGTTCCTGGGAAACCAGCTGACACTGCGGGCCCTCCTGATCAGGCTGGGCCAACCCAGCCCTGTGGGGGTCCGAGCCCTCGGGGACACCCCCACTGTCCTCTCTCACCCCTCATCCTCAGCTGGGAGTGGGGCAGCTAGAGTCCTCACCTCCAAGTAGGGTCCTCCCCTTGCTCCACAGGCTCACAGCCACATGGGCAGGGCCTGAAATCTCATCTTGTGACCCTTTTATTATGGGGAGACCTGTGATCACCTTGGACAGCCTGCTCGGGGGTTTCATCCCAACTCAGTGAAAGGTTCCCACCAAACCACCACCGCCCTGAGAAAACAAGGGCCTCGTGCTGAAAGGAACATTTGAATTTCAAATCCCTGGGTTCCTGAGCACATCTTGGCGGTGGTTGTTGGTACTGGGGATTGAACTCAGGGGCACTCCACCACTGAGCACATCCCCAGCCCTATTTTGTATTTTATTTAGAGACAGGGTCTCATTGAGTTGCTTAGTGCCTCACTAATTACTGCAGCTGGCTTTGAAAGATCCTCCTGCCTCAGCTTCCTGAGCTGCTGGGATTACAGGTGTGCACCACTGTGCCCCTGGCCCCAAGCACATTTTGGAACGAAGCTATCAGCTAGTGGTCAAGAGCTGGTTGAGTGTTTAACTATAATGGRTTGAAGTCAGGGCCCGGGAGTGCTGTGGAGACTCGCTCTGGACCCCACACCCTCCCCAGCCCTCCCGAAGGGTGCTGGAGATGGGGACGGAGAAGGGCCCAGGAGGTAAAGGATGCTGGGCTTCAGACTTATAGATCCAGGAGATCAGAAGCAGATACTGTTTTAAGCCATCAAGGTTGCAGCGATTTGTTGTGCGGTGACAGAAGCCTCCTTCCTGCCTCTGTGCTATTCATCACTCTACACCCGGGGCACTTCCCCTTCCCCCCACTTTCCAAACCTAGCAGTCCTTTTACTCACAGAACGCTGCAGCAGGGCCCTACAGGCCATCTGGCAATGGGTCCAGTTCCCTGGTTTAAAGTCAGACAACGGATCCACCCTGCCACGACCACGGGCATGAATACCACGAGGTTTGGGTTTTTTTTTTTTTTTTTTTGGTACCAGGGATTGAACCCAGGGGTGCTTAACCACAGAGCCACACCCCCAACCTTTTTGTATTTTATTTAGGGACAGAGTCTCGCCGAGTTGCTTAGGGCCTCACTAAGTTGCTAGAGCTGGCTTTGAACTCATGATCCTCCTACTTCATCCTCCTGGGCCACTGGTATTACAGGCACGTGCCGCCACGCCTCGCTGAATACCATGAGCTCTAATAACTGGAACGCAAGCGTTCACTGCACCTGTATCGCGAGGCAGAGACTCTTCTCAGCTCTTCGTAAGCTCCACACATCTCACCCTCACCACGGCATTGAGAAACGGGCTTGATTATATTCCTTAGAAGAGGAAGGGAAGGCTCAGCAAGGTCAAGGCATTTGCCCAAGTGCACACAGCAGGGCTCCAGYTCAGCACAAAGGGACTTGCAGTGTAGGCTCAGAGCCCGTCCTGAGCAGGTGGCCTGAGCTGGATGGGAATGATAAGGCTGATGTCCAGACAGAGCTGAAAAGGAGCCACCTGCAGGCAAAGTCCTTCTCTAAGGTCATGCCAATTATTCCTCGAAGGCTTCAGATTTTATCTAGGGCTTCCTGGCACACCTGACAATGGACATGTTTTGCAGAAACTGGACAGGCAGCAGCTTCCAGGACGTTGATGCTGGGCTCTGCTGCAGCGGCAGCCTCTGGCCTGCACTGGTGGACTCTCTCGGGGGTGACTGAGTCACAGGGCCACCCACCCCACAGTGGTGTGAGGGAGCCTGGGAATGGAAATGACTCCAAATCCACAGGAGCTCACTGAGCCGAGGGGCCAGCACTGAGAGCCATCCCAACCCCACAGCATTTTGGTGGCCAGAAGGTAAAAGAAGACTCCCTGCCATGGGCCCCTCTGGCACCCTCCTGTCTTCCCAGCCCCTCCTCCTCCGCCAGCCACTKCTGCCTGATCAGATTCAAGCAATGTGCGGTGGGGCCAGCAACGCCTGGCCTCAGGACCCCAGTGCCCCCTGCCCAGGGCTCCTGTGACAGAAACACCCTCAGTACCTCACCTGGCCCCTGCGACCCGCAAGAGTCAGGAGCTAACACCCCACGTGGCAGCCCTCAATCTGGACACACCTGCCATTTGGGTCCCAGACAACAATTCTGACGCACATTCCGTTTGGTCCTTCAAGGGACTGGAGTAGGTGGAGCCCCAGTTGCCCACGGTGGTGACCAAACCCACAGCTCCCCTCACTTCCTTCCCTCCTCTCCTTCCTCCTCTCTCCCAGCTCCTGGAGCCCCCCCCCTACACTCTACAGAGGATCCCTGCAGTGAGCTAAGGCCCTTCCTTCAGAAGGGGTTGGGGAACGTTCAAAGCAGAAAAATCCCAGGCTGTTCCTCTTCTGCAGGAGAAGAAGAGCAGAGGGCCAGAGTGGCAGGAGGAAGCTGGGCCAGGCACGGATGCTCCCTCGGCCCCGGGGCGTTTCCACTGGCTGGTGAACACAGTAGTACAACACTGTTGTACACACTTTCCATGATTATCCCCTCGGTCCTCCATTAGCAGGTGTTTGTGTGCTTCTGCATTTGGCTCTGGTGAACAACTGCTATGGCTGTGCGTGTGCAAATACCCGCCTGCGCCACCGTGTCCCACACCTAGGGGCACATACCCACAAGTTCTACCACATTTTTAAGGACAGAGTGGCGTTTTCTCAGGTCAGTGGGGTGCCGGGGAAGGAGATGCTCTGGACAGCTGCCTTCCTATCTGACCTCCGCCCTGGGGTCGATCCTGGCTCCGATTCTCCTCCACACTCACAGGAAAGCCCCGAAGAGCCGGGCCGCTGGGAGCTRAGAGCCAGTGAGCAGAGACTTCTGTTTTAACACTCAGTGAAAGTGCAGGAGGTTGGGCCAGAGGAGRAGGGGAAAGACAGAAAGGGGGCAGAGGACCAGGGAGACCTCTAATTGAGGCCACCGGGGATGCAGAGAGCACCGGGGAGGCTGAACCCAGGACTCAGCCCTGCAGCATCCCCGGGCCCCTGCCTGCATTCCCTGCCAGGTGACGGATGGGGAAGGCCAGCAGCCAGCAGCGGGAAAGCGCTGAGGTTGCTCTGCTGTAAAGGACACCACAGGGGCGGACAGCCCTGAGCAGGCAGAACGGGCTAGGGYTCCTGTGCTGGGGATTCCTGAGAGGCGAGGGCAGCCAGGCTTGGCTATCTGTGGCTATCTGGGGAGAAGGACAGTCACGCTGTCCTGCGGGGGTGGCACCTCTGTGTGTTAAGAGACCTCACCAGCTGGGGGTGGCACTCGCCTGTAATCCCAGCAGCTCTGGAGGCTCAGGTAGGAGGATCGCGAGTTCAAAGCCAGCCTCAGCAAAAGCGAGGTGCTAAGCAACTCAGTGAGACCCTGTCTCTAAATAAAATACATAATAGGACTGGGGATGAGGCTCAGTGGTTGAGTACCCCTGAGTTCAATCCCCGGTATCATATATTAAAAAAAGAGAGAGAGAGAGAGAGATTTTAACTCAGCCCTGGGGCCCCCAGCCTCCTGCTGCAGCCAGTCACACTCCATGCCTGCCACTGCAGCCCGAAAGTCCAAAATGAAAAACACCCATGTTCTCCAATGAGAGGCACTTCCCCCACACTCTCCACCACCCAGGCCCGCACAGCCCACCCTGAGCTACTCCCATGAGCCCAGAGCTGCCTGGTCTCCTTGGACCCAAAGCACAGGGGCAGGTCTCCCCCTCCAGCCTCCCCTCTGCCTGGCTCTGAGCTGGAGAGGCTCGAGGTGCCTGTGGGGCTGCTCTGGAGGAGAAGGTAGGGCAGACCTCAGGGAGCRGCCCCAGAGCCCAGGGACAATGCACGGCAGCCTTCAGCCCTCTCAGCATCCTTTCCCACCTGCCTAGTGACAAATGGCATTAGGAGCTGTAAATTTAGCCAGTCCTTTTAAGAACAGCCAGTACCTCCCGCTCCACTCCCCAGGGCCTGCTCGGTGACCTGCAAACCAGATGAGACTTGTCTGCTGGGCTGCCCGCCAGCCCTTCCCAGGAGCCCGAGGAGAGCCAGCCCTGACACCACCCCATTTCCCCACGGCCTTTGCCCTCTGCTCCTCAGCATCCCGCAGAACGCCCTTTCTGGGAACGCACGCAGGGCGCCGAGGAAGAGATCCCATTTTCTGCTTTGAGCTGCTATCAGGGGCTGAGCCTCCCTTGGTGGGACCCCAGC